TCTGATGTCTTCTCCTGGCCTCCAAAGGCACCAGGCACACACGTGGTACATACACAAACATACAAGCAAAACACTAATACACATAAAGCAAAAAGCCATCCCAGATTACATAGGGAGAACCTGTCCAAAAAACAATCAGTAGGCATGGCTGCTTCAAGATACAGAGCACAGGCTATAAAACAGTGCCGCACAGACCTGTGACAATGCCCTTTTACTTAGCTCGATACACAGCTAGAAAGATAGACCTTAAATTATTTTTGGTCATTTCTTTTTGTGGTGGTTTGAATAAAAGTGGTCCCCCGAGGATCATATACTTGAATGCTTAGGAACCAGGAAGTGGTAATATTTGAAAGGATTAGAAGGATTAGGAGGTGTGGCCTTGTTGGAAGAAATACATCACTTGGGTGGGCTTTGAGGGTTCAAAAGCCCATGCCACACTCTGAGTCTATGTCTCAGGGCTGCAGGTCAGGACATAGTTCTCAGCTACTGCTCCAGCACCTACCTGTGGGCTCAACATTCCCTACTGTGACGAGAATGGTCCAAACCTGTGGAACTGTAAGCAAGCCCCCAATTAAATGCTTTCTTTCATAAGAGTCTTGCCTTGGTCATAGTGTCTTTCCACAGCAAAAGAACAGTAACTAGGACAATTTTTCTTGTCTTATTGCTTTTTCTGAGCCTTCAACTCAGTATTAAATCAATAGCATGATTCTCTTCAATCCCCCTTTAATAAACTAACTCTGAGACAGGGTCTCATTGTCTACTACAGGCTGGCCTGGAACTTGCTATGTGGCTCAGGCTGGCCTCACACTTACAATCCTGCCTCAGTGTGCCAAGTGCTGGGATTACAGACACATGCCACCATGAGTGACTAAGTCAACTTTAAAAACATTTGAAGCAGGGCCTGGAGAGATGGCTCAGCCCTATGTTCAATTCCCGGCACTCTCATGGCAGCTTCCAACCTTCCATAACTTCAGTTCCAGGAATTCAACACTCTCTCCTGGCCTCCGGTGGCACCCGACACAGTTATTATACATAAATGCAAGTGTTGACTGCTATATGTCAGGCCCTTTGAGAATAAGCTAATAGTGATTTTAGTTCTCTGACTTTTACTTAAGCTTTTAAAACTCTCAGTAATGCATCCAGTGAGATGGCCCAGCAGGTAGAGGCACTTGCTGCCAAGTCTGAGTATGTGAGTTCCATTCCCAGACCAATATGATGGAAGGAGAGAACTGAGTCCCAAGTCCTCTGGCTCCACATGCATGCGCACACAGCAGAATAAGTAAATCAACGTAAAGACAATCAAATGAATGAAATCTCAGCAATCTGATTATCACTTTCGTCTAAAGAAAAGATAGCATCCCTTTTCCTTGACATGTGAGCTCTTAGATGACAGTAGATCAGTGTTGCCCCTCAGGGTGAGATTCAGGTCCTGGCTTCCAACAGAGGCACCGACTAGCCACAGCGCCCCTTTCCACCCCCACCCGGAACAGGACTCCCTGGCCTTTCCTTTGTCCCTCCCCACCCCTTGGCCAGTGGGCTGGTTGAAAGGAGACCCTGCCATCTATTCCCCACTGACTCAGGGCTAGCATTTAGGATTTGCTCAAATCACTATGGAAACTTTTAGGCAGTCCCTCTGGGAGGCAAGTCCATGAGTTCCGCCTTTCTTAGGTTATGGGTGTTCCCTTGGCTCTATTTCCAGGCAGAATCAAGTCTGATTTCCTTCAGGGCTGAGCTCTGCTACAGCAGCTGATGCCTCTTGTCTTTCTCTGCTACCTTGTCCCACCCAGCCCTCGTCCCAAGATTGGCAAGAGCAGTGACCAAACATTTGGATACATTTGGCTAGTTCCTCTAATTTGCTGAAGATTGAGTGGACTATGGTAGGATAGGGGAATGACCTCTTTAAGGGCACACAGCTAGGCAACAGTGCTGAGCTCAGCCAAAACATGTGCCTTCAAGCTCTGGGGTCCAAGATAACATCACCAGCTTGACTAGCTGCTCGGAGCAGATGTTCCAAAAATAGCAGTTGCCACGCTAGTAGATCAGCTCAGAGGTGTGCTGATTTCCCAGCATTTGCAAGTCCCTGTATTCTATCCTAGAACTGAATAAAACAAAGCAAAACAACAAAACAAGCTTGGTTGTGGCGGTGCACACCTTTAATCCTTGCATCCAGGAGGCAGAGGTGGGCAGATCGTTAAGAATCCAAGCCCAGCCTGTCTCCTCACTATATAGACAGCCAGGGCAGCACACAGACTCTGTCTCAAACTCTTAACATAAATGCTGTTAGCTTTATTGCTTATCAGGCACCAGGTTTCACGCTCGTATTGACTTATTTCTACTTGTTCATTCATTTTTAAACTATTTAATTTTCACACGTCTGTATGTGTGCCTGAGTGCATGTACATGACCCATGACTGAAAAGAGGCATTGAGCTCCCGGAACTGGAGTCACAGACAGTTGTGAGCTGCCATGTGGTGCTGGGAACTGAACCCCGGTCCTCGGTGAGAGCAGTAAGTGCTCGTAGCTTCTGAGTCATCTCTCCATCTCCCTCAACTTAGTTTTAGAATTCACCTTCACATGTGTATATTATGTGTGTGCATCTGTGTAAACTGTGCTTTTTCATTTTCCTTTAATGATGTTTCTTTTTCCTACAAACAGCCCCAAGCTGGGTGCTTGCTATCACTTGTAGGTTGTCTTTGCTATTTGTGGATTCTTCTTTTTCCCACTCTTTATCCCCATCCCCAGTTTCACTCCCTAACACTAGCTAGGAGAGAAAGAGGGGAGAGGAGAGAGAGATCCCTGAATCTAATTTCTTTCCCAACCTTTCCTGCCAGTTTCCAGCCCAGCCCCTTTAAATGTTTCTCCCAACCATTCCCCCTTCAGGTCCCCAAAGTTTTGCTTAAACAGTCCCTTTTCCCAGTTTTCCCAATACTACTGGTCCGAACTATGACAGCTGTTCTAACCTATCTGCTCAGCTTGGCCCCTGGCTCAACTGTCTCCTAACAATAGCTTCGTTTTTCCCCTTTTTTTTTTTTTTTGAGACAGGGTTTCTCTGTGTAGATTTGGCTGTCCTGGACTCACTTCGTAGGCCAGGCTAGCCTTGAACTCACAGAAATATGCCTGCCTCTGACTCCCTGAGTTCTGGGATTAAAGGAGTTTGCCACCATGCCTGGCTCTCATCTATTTATTTATTTATTTATTTATTTATTTATTTATTTATTCCATTTATAGATTTATTTTTTATTTATATACTACTCTGCCTACATTATGCATACACACCAAAAGAGGGCACCAGATCTCATTATAGATGGTTGTGAGCCACATGTGGGAATTGAACTCAGGACCTTTGGAAGAGCAGATAGTGCTCTTAACCACTGAGCCATCTCTCCAGCCCATCTTTTTATTTTTTTAATCTTAAAAAATAAAAAAAGTTACCAGGTGTAGTGGTGCTCACCTGTAATCCCAGCACTTTGGGAGGCAGAGGCAGGAGGATCTCTGAGCGCTGGAGGCCAGCCTGGTCAACAAAGTGAATCCAGGACATCCAAGGCTACACAGAGAAACCCTGTCTCAAAACCCCAAAAAGAAAATATTAAAAAAAATGTTTTAATTCTGTGTGTGTGTGTGTGTGTGTGTTTCTGTGTGTGCGCGCAAGCGCGCGTGCATGTGAGTGCTGGGGCCCACAGAGTTGAATCCCCTTGGAACTGGAATTACAAGTAGCTGTGAGCTGCCCAACAGGGATGCTGGGAACCAGTCCAGTCCTCTGTAAGAGCAGCAAGCACTCTCATATTCCTCTACCTCTCTGCGGCCTGTCCTGCTGTAGCAGCCCGGGGATTACAGAGGCTGCTGGGATCTGACCTTGCCTTGGGTTTTGAGTCATGCTTGCACAGCAGGTCTTTTTACCCGGTCTTTGTCCCCAGTCCTCGTTTCCACTTCTTTACTGCTCTCAATGGTTTGTTTGGCACACAAGGAAACTAGGGGCTAATTTGTGTGCTCCAGGTCCAAGCGCAGTCTTGATTTGGATGTAGAGGGCTGAAGCCGGAGCGTCAGTCACATAGTGCAATCGGTGAAGGACATCACTGCTCCACACACACCCTGAAGACCTCCTTGTGGATTTCTCTTTGGTACTTTGATTTCATGCCTCTCCGGTGGTAACAAGGAGCAGAAGGGCAGGGCAGTCTTGGGGTAAGGTGTGGGGTATTTGGAGCACTGAGAGAGTCCCCATTCTTCTCACCCAGTGACATTTTTCTGGGCTTTTCTTGGAAAAATTAACCAGAAAAGATAGACCTGGTTTGTCCCTCTCCCTGTCACTCACCTGTCATCCTTGCTGAGTCTCTCCCTTGTGTACCCCAGGGATCTGGAGAGAAGCTTGCCCCTCCCAGCTTGGTTTTCTTTAGGGGGGAACTCTAGGGATAGGCACAGAAGTGTCACCCACTGCGAGATGACAGAAAAGGCCCAGCCTCCATCCCAGAACCTCCCTTTCAGCGTGGAAGGAACAGGGTGGTCCTCGAAACGTCTGATTCTTTCCATCAGGGTGGGGACAATGAGGGAGAAGCTGGGAAACGTTCAAGGCTGTTCTTGGCTACGCAGCAAATTCGAGGCTAATCTGGAATATACGAGGCCCTGCCTGAAGAGAAGTAGACGGGAGAGAGGATCCCTCAACTTCCTTAGAGTGGCTCCTCACCCTCAAGATGCAACGTACAGAGGCGGATTTCCCCACCAATCACCTCCGGGGACCCTGGCTAGGGGATTTAAAGAGATACCCCCGCCCCACGGGACTTGGCCACCCCTAAACAGCGGCTGGGAGTCCTAGGACCCCGTCCTGGCTCCGCCTCCCGCCGGACGGCGCAGGACGCGGGGAGGGGAGCCGGGGGCGAGGTCCGCCCCGAGAAGGGGCGTGTGGCCCGTAGAGGAGGGCAGAAAGTTCGCGTCCCCGACGGACGGACCCGAGAGCCGGCGCGGCGAGTAGCGGGAGGCGGCGGCGGCCGGCAGAGGCGCGGCCGGGCATGGACAGCGCGGCCGCCGCCTTCGCCCTGGACCCGCCAGCGCCCGGCCCGGGGCCCCCGACCGCACCCGGCGACTGCGCCCAGGCGCGCAAGAACTTCTCGGTGAGCCACCTCCTGGACCTGGAGGAGGTGGCGGCTGCCGGGCGCAGGGCTGCAGGGCCGGGGCCGGGGCCGGAGGCGCGGGAGGCAGCGGCGCGCGAGCCGTCCGGGGGCAGCAGCGGCAGCGAGGCGGCGCCGCAGGACGGTGAGTGCGCGGCGTGGGAACCAGGCCGGGGCGGCGGGGCTCGGTCTGCTGGACTAGGGGTTGCGGAGTCCCTTCCTTGATGAACTGGGCTGTGGGGCTCGCTGGCTGCGGGATCCACTGGCCCTGGGGCTCTTGAATCTTCGGCTTGTGAGACTGTGGCTGTAGGACCAGCAGATATTGGGGAACACACACACACACACACACACACACACACACACACGCACACGCACGCACACACGCAAACACACACTGAGCTTGAGATCCCAGTTACGGAGACCCGTGGGCTACAGGATCCGTGGGCTGCAGGACCCGGGCTGTGGGATCTCTGGGCTGTAGGACAGTTTGTGAGACAGTGGCTGTGGATCCCAGCCGTGGGCACTGGAGGACTGGCTTGTTCACAGTGGGAGCCGCAGTCTCAGAAACAGCCCAGGGGTGGCTGCTGTTGTCTCAAAAGCCCCTCCTTCGGAGGAAACCCTTTTTGAACCAGATCCACTTACAGTCTTGAGGATGTGTGAAAGCGGGCTCTCCCTACACTCTGTACTCACCTACCGGAAGAAGCTGGTGCCGTTGCTCTTGCGGGAGACCGAGGCTGTGGCGGGCTGAGCCATTAAGTCAGACTCAGTTCAGCCTCTTCGCGGGGCTTCAGAGGGTTTGTCGGGTGGGGATAGCTGTACAACCACACCCTTCAGTTTGGGGTGAAGGAACTCCCAGAGGAGGACAGCCCCTAGGCCTGGTTCCCCTGCAGAGGTTAAAGGTCATCTGGAAAGGGCTTTCAAAACAAACAATCCACCCAAGCAAGCCCCCCTCACACACACACAAATTCACACAGGATTAAAGCTCAGTTTTTTCAAAGAAGAGAGAGAAGTTGGCGGGAAACAAGGGTGTAAGGGTGAGTTTTGGGAGAAGCCGAGATTGGGATTGAAGGATGAGAATGAAGTGAAGGTCCCAGTCTGGACAGTTTCGGTGAGGAGCAGGACAAGGTCAGAGTGACCAAGGATCACCCAGGTGCTAGGGAGGAGTGTCGGAGGCTAACACTTCTGTCCCCTAGCTCCGGGACATCCTCGTTGTGGTGAGGCACAGTTTGGGACTGTCTAGATCCCCAAACAGTGTGGAGAGGTGACAAAACTGGTTGGTATCCCTTCCACCCTCCCGCCCACCCCAAGGACTCCACTTCCTTTACTAGGCTCAGGGTCAGAGGGGTGCTCAGGCCGCCTGCAAGCCTTTGCTTTCAGACAAGAGGGGGTCCTGGGAAGCCAGCGATGATAGCGGCACTGTCTGAAACGTAAGCATTTGTGTCCTGGGACAGCCACAGAGAATCTTCTGATAACACGTGCTGCTGCGAGCTGGAGTAGGGCATGCCTGCATGCCTGGTCCTTAGCTCCAGGGAGGCTCCTGCCTCCTTTGCTAGTGACCACAGCCCATCATTTGCAGGGGCCTGGGTACTCTCTTCCCTCAGGTGTTGGGTGATGGATGATGAGTGAGCTGACAGCCTGGGGAGTCAGCTTTTGAGATACTTGATGGAAAAGTAGAGGGAAGAGGGGGCAGTTCCGGCCTGAGGCAGAGTGAGGTGCTATATAGCTCAGTGTTCTCTGGTTTCACCTTGATGACTGAGGCTGGGGGGGCAGAACAAAGGGAACGATAAAATCAAGGTGGTGGGAAAGAAAGAAGGGGTAGGCAGAAGAAGATGAAGGAGAGGGCGCTGGATTGATGGTGAATGGCAGAGCTGCTGGCCCTGGTAGGGGCACACACTGCAGGGCCTGACTTCTTTGTCATGTAGCTGATCCCCAGATGGACTTTTCCCCCCTGGGTAATCCCAGACTGCAGTCGTCAGCTAGACTATGAGTGCCCAAATGCCATTGGCCTCTAGGAAGCTGGGTGAGTACTGGGTGTCCGCGAAAACCCCAGGATCTGGCCACGTTCCTTGAAAGCCTATGAGGACCACCAGGCTCTTCCTGGGGTGCAGCTGAGGTGTTTGAGGACAGAGAACATGCAGATGGGAGACCCAAGGGTAGGTTCAAGAACTCACTCAACCCCAGCCCTTTGCCTTGGAAACTACATCCAGATTTGCCCCGGAGTCTGTGGTGGTCCAGGGGCACCGTGCCAGGCTTCTCTCTGGGTTGGAGCCTACAGACAGAAGACAGAGGAAGGAGGCTGAGGTAGCTTCCTGTTTGTCCCTTGGGTTAGTTGCCCCTTGCTGCTTCCATGGATTGGTAGTTTGACAGTCCTGAGGGCTCCAGAGATAGGGGAGAAGGGACCTGTCGTTTCCACATCCTGCTGAGCCCAGCCCAACCTGCTAGGAAGAAAACACCAGCTGGAGGATGCGCTTAGGGCCCTGGTGTGCACAGGCCTGGTTCCATCCCCAGCACAGGAAGTGGGAAGCAAGGGAGGGAGGGAGGAAGACAGAATGCCAGGACGTACCCCCAGGGCAGCACTCGTGGACTGTGGGCTGTGCTGTTGACTCTCTTCCTGAGCCCTCAGCACCCCCAGGGCACAGACACTCGTGAAACCCAAAGTTCCTGTGGCTTCTGCGTTTTCCCCCAATAGATAGTTTATTCCTCCCAATAGAAAAATGCAGGTTATTGGGGGAATAAACAAATAGGAACTCCTGTTTTCATCCTGCCAATTAAAAACAAACAAACAAGAACAACAACAAACTAAAATCCTTTTGTTTCTAAAAAGCCACCCGTAGATCCAGCCCATATCTGCCAATGACTTTCCAAGCCTTTGCTCCCCCACCCCAGAACTGACTCTGTAAACTGTGGCTTCGCTAGTGACTCAGAACAAACCAGGGGCTCGGGTTCCTTCAAATGCTGAGCTATGCCAAGCATGTTAGGAAAATAAACCCTCGTTGGCTTCCTTTGCGATGGCATACAACAAAAGAAACCACATTAATAACCTCGAGTTTCTTAAAACCATTCCCTCCTGTGGGCAGGGCGGAAACCAGGCCATGGACACGCTGAGAAAATAAACATGGCCCTAGGAGCTAGGCAGAGAGACCAGGACAGCTGAGCCCAGATCAGGGCTGGTACCTGTTTGGAGAATTACAGGATGCTGGGTTGCCAGGACTATGTGGATCTGAAGAGAGAGAGAGAGGGAGGGAAGAAAGGAGAGACAGAAAGAGAGAGAGAGAGAAGATTTTGGGTAGGATACCTGGAATCCAAGGTCCTGGGGGAGGTAGGGCCCTTGTGAACTGAGCGGCAGTTGGTAGTTGGGGTGAGTCTGGGTTAAGTGGGAGACCTGTCCCTTTCCCTTGCTAAGAAGGACCAACCGGAACTGCTGAGGAATCTGGGGTTCAGAGATTGGTACTCTTCAATCTATCAGGTTTTTCATTTCATTTTTATTTGTGGTTTTCTAAGACTGTCTCATGTAGCCCAGGCTGGCCTCAAACTTGCTCCATAGCTGAGTCTAGCCTTGAACTCCAAATCTTTCTGCCCCGCCTTCATTACTCTTTGCTGTGATAACACGTGGTTAGTTCAGAATTTACCACGGGCCATTTGTGAGCACACAGCCCAGTCCCTGTCCACCACACCCAGCTCCCCACAGCCCCTAATTCACTCTCTTTCCCTATGAATCTGACCACACGAGATCCCTCACAGAAGTGGACTCTAAGGTTTGGCCTTTCTGTGTCCGGCTTACGTTGTATATCGTATAGAAAGCATCTAAGTTCGTCCATGTATCTTGTCTTCGAACTCCTTTCCTTTTCAAGGCTGAATTATGCTCCCTTGCATGGATGTACTTCGATTTGCTTGTCATTTCACTCATCAGTGGACATAGGTTGTGGGTAGTGCTCCTGTGAACGGAGGTATGGATTCAAAGGTCGATGCTTTGAATTCTTTGAGGTGTGTTTCTCTATGCGGAATTATTAGGTCATGTGGAGGCAGACGGGAGACCCAGGAGCAGGTTTAAGAACTCATTCACTCCCAGCCCCCTGCCTTGGAAACTACATCCAGATTTGCCCCGGAGTCTGTGGTGGTCCAGGGGCACCGTGCCAGGCTTCTCTCTGGGTTGGAGCCTACAGACAGAAGACAGAGGAAGGAGGCTGAGGTACCTTCCTGTTTGTCCCTTGGGTTAGTTGCCCCTTGCTTCTTCCATTGATTGGTGGTTTCACAGTCCCAAGGGCTCCAGAGATAGGGGAGAAGGGACCTGTCGTTTCCACATCCTGCTGAGCCCAGCCCAAACTGCTCCTTTCACTGCATGTTCTAGAGACCAATCTGGACAACAAACTGATCTGGGCGTCGAACTAAGGTTGTCAGGTTTACAAGCGAGCACTTTCACGCACTGAGCCATCGTGCTGGCCTGTCCCCTGTGGAATGGGAACAAGGGACATTATTTATGGGGATGGGGCAAGCCCTAAGCAGTTGTGTGACACATAGTAGGCGCTCAATACAGTTTCCAGATGGCTCCTGAGGTACTTACAGGGCTTGTGGAGGCCCAGGGAGGTGGAACCTGCCCAAGATCACACAGCTGGGAAAGGATGTCAGGCTGGCTGTGGGACTCCAAGTCCAGGCCCTTCTCTCCAGCACATGTGGGTGGGAGAAGCTAGGAACAGGAGCTCCCTGGGGGCTGGGGAGACTGGCTGTGGGGCTAGGAAGCTAAAGGGGTGAGGAGGTGGGGGTTGGGACCAGTGAGGAATAGGATTCGGGTAAGGAACTTGTGTGCATGATGGGATTTCTGAGCTTGCAGGTAGAAAGGATAGATGTCTGCTGGCTTGTCCTGGAGAGGGTTGTGATGTCAGAGAGGCCTCGTCCTAAGGGAGGGACACTAGGGGACTGGGGATGCTATTTCCTGGGGAGAGTGCTGCTTGATTGTTCTGCACGAAACCCAGCATCAAACCCCTCGGTACCACATAGTCCCAAGTGGGGTGCCCACCTGTAATCCTAGCACCGAGGAAGTGGACGCCCGAGGATAAGGAGTTTAGGGTCATTCTCATCTACATACTGAGTTCAAGGTCAGCCTGGTCGATGTGAGAGCCTGTACTCAAAATGAGGCAGACTGTGGCT